GGTGCAGGCTCATCTGTAAGCCGTCGGCGCTGGCACAGTGCCTGCTGCGCGCCTTGCGACGCTTGGCGGCGCTGGAGCCGGGCCCGCGCTCCTGGCTCTCGGGGCCCCACCTGCAGACCCTCCGCCACTTCGTGCTGCCGGCGGGGCCGGGCCGGAGCTGGCCCGGGGAGTACCTGCAGTTGGGCCGACAACGGGCTGGTGCCCTGGACTGGTCGTGGGACCTTTGCGCCCGGGGCCGTCGAGTCACCAACGCCGGGGGCTCTGCCGGCGGTGCTGCTTAGTGATCCCCAATGCGTGGGGGCGCTCTCACCCGCAACGTGCTCGGCCTCTGCTGCTCGCCCTGAGCGCGGCTACTACCCTTGTCATCTTTCCACCGCGCGCCACAACGGCTGCCCGCTGTCAGCCCCCGTCTGCAGCCCTTTCGGGGAACCCTTCCGACCTCAAAGGAGGCGGTCACTTACATCCGCTTCCGACCCCGCGCCCCGCTGTTCGCGGTGAGCGAGGGGCTCCGGGGTCGGCGCTGCTGCTGTCCTACCTGGGCGAGTGTGGCTCCTCCAGCTACATGACGGGGGCCGCCTGCATCTCGCCGGTGCTGCGCTGCCGCGAGTGGTTCGAGGCCGGCCTGCCCTGGCCCTACGAGCGGGGCTTCCTGCTCCACCAGAAAATCGCCCTCAGCAGGTGGGTAACGGGGCCGCAGACCTGTGAGGGGTAACAGGGTCTTGGGCTGAGCGAGACACAGCTCTGCCTGGTGTTGACTCCGACAGGTCTACGGCGACCTGGGCAAAGTCCCCTCACACACTGTCTGAAGCTGTCCAAACCCTCCAGTCGAGAGAGAACCGGGGAGCCGGTTTAAAATCCATAGAAGACTCAGTCAGCATCATTATACGAGGCAGGGCCTCCCGCCCGGCCCCTGGCCTCACCGTGTCCTAGCAACCTGAGCACTTGCCGCATCCCCGACAGGCGGTGCCTGACGCTGACCGCTTAGTCCGCAGCTTGTCAGATGAGCAAGGGCTCGGGCAGCGCGTGCAGCTGTCTGTCCAGAATGTTCCCTACAGCCTTTGAGCCTGGAGGGGACAGGAATAAAACAATGTGGAGGTATTTATTAAAAATCCTTAGACCCAACAAATATTTTGCATATTCCTATGTGCTCAATATTTAAGGCAACAATTTAAAGAATATTTAAACACAATTTTTAAAAAAATCTCCATAAAGAGGACATTCTACCCTACCACCAGGCATACAGGTGGGACTTTCCCCCTGAGAAGGCGACATTCCCACAGCACATACGCAGGCCTCGGCTTGCACTGTGGCCTTCCTAGGAGAGGCAGGAGGAGGTCAAAGACATGTGGATAACTGTGCTGTGGCAGAAAGACCTGGGATGTGGGCGCATGTCACGGGTTCAAATCCTGAATTTCCAACAAGTTGGCGAATTCTTTGGAGCCTCGCTTCTCTCTTCAGTGAAAGGGAGTTGATAATAACTACCTCCCCAGGTCCGTATATGCATGAAACGAGGCCATGGAAGTGAGCGTGGCACTGGGTAGGTGCTCAATAAATGGTGGCAACTGTGGTTTCTCTTTTCTTGCCCCGTTTTGCCTCCTGTTCTGAAATGAAATCCTGAGCGCAATAACAGCAGGCTGCCATGACAACCCAGAGCTTCCAGAGTATCCAGGAGCAAGGTGCTCTCATGTGGCTTAGGTGCCAGCTTCCATCCCCAAATCCCCCCGGGCACCAGCTGTAAGGCGAGGGAAGTGGAGAGGAAACGGAGCCTTCAGTAACTACCCTGCTCATGGAAGTTTGGGATTAAAGACTCAGGGCAAATCTCTTTGAATGATTCAGGAGACACACATCCAAAATCAACAGATGACTGCTGGATTGATCCCCCCAAAGGTCTCAGCTGCCCATCCTGGCCTCCTCATCGGGGGCCCCAGGCCTTCTCCAGGGAGGTGGCAACAGCAAAGATGCCCCTCTTCCCCAGAACAGTTGCTCTCAGGCTCCCATTGGGGAACTCACCTGTAAATCAGTCTGCCATCCAGCCCTCTCTAGGAAAACCTCCTCCACACCCTCATTTGTCATGATCTGGATGGCATATTCGCTTTTAAAACACAAACAAACGAATACACCCTAAAGTAAAATGTTAATTGTGGGGGTGCCACCTGCTGGTTTAGATAGTCCGAGCCAGTGAGCTATTCTAAGAGGGGTTCAACAAGTTGCCCACAGAGGGACAGAAGTTTTGATCAGGAGGAGAGCTGTCGGTCGCTGTAGCTCAGCAGCCTTAAAGTCAAGGCTGCCCCGTGCAGGGCAGGTAATGCCATGAGGGACAGACCTGGTAGGAACCATG